CACACTTGCTGCTCTGGTCTCTGGTAGAGAGCTTACTTTCTTTTACTTTTATCCGCCGCTTATACCCTTTTGGGCGTCGCGGGAAGAAAGAGACGTCTGATAGAGAGTGAAGTGTTAAAACTCCATGGCACAAATGGTGTTAATCTCCATGACACAAATGGTTTTAATCTCCATAGCACAAATGGTGTTAATCTCCATGACACAAATTGTGTTAATCTCCATGACACAAATTGTGTTAATCTCCATGACACAAATGGTGTTAATCTCCATGACACAAATGGCTTGCTTTTGTGAAAGAGTGCAATTTTGATTACAGTTTCCTTTTGTCTTCAGTCAGTTCTGTGACTAATGAAAAGCTTTTCTTGAAGTCTCTTTTTGACTTGAACTTTTTATTATTTTTTTCACCCCACCCCTTTGATACGACTTATCCTCGTGGCCGGTCTTTTTGGCACGACACTGATGACTTCATTCCTTTATGTGAGGGAATTATCAGAATATCACTACCCAATACAAGCAACTTTCTCCTATCTCTTTTGTTTTTCTCTTTTGTAATTCTCTTTTGTAATCCCCCGTACTGTACACTTCTGCAAAAATTATCTCACTTTATTGAAATACACAATTTTTTTTAAATGGAAGAAAACAAGTTCAGTTACCTTGAAGGGGGGAGGTGGGGGATCCAGAAGGCAGACAGACCCTGTTCACATTACAAGGAATGAGCAGACACAATTTGATAATTTTTCTTACTTTCAGTTCACTGAGATTGCAGTTGAAAAGGTAAACACAGTTCACTTTGGGCTTGTTCTCCCTCATGCAAACTTGGGGAACTTGATACTGCAGAACAAAAGAGAGGGACAAAAAGAACCCCAACTCTTGTTTATGTTTCTGTTTCAAGTTGGATTTGTTTCAGTTTGGGTTTTTGCCAGTGGCATTTTCATGTCCACTTTTGTTGTTTTTACTTTGGAAGCGTTTTTGTTTTTTAATGTAACTTTTCAGTGGTTGTTGATTCAAGTGGATGTTCTTCTGATTATATCTTTCTGTGCCTACTTATTTCTTGGAGTATTAGCTAGTGCTGATAAAATTTTGTGAGCTGCAATGGTGATGGAAATTGGCTGATCTGTGAGAAAAAAGTGGGCTGAAACCCTCATAATGCTGAGCCCTATGCATTTGGAGGTGCTTGCCAGGGGGTAGGTTGATGGTGGGGGGAGGGGGGATATATGCTTAATTTGTTTTTAAAAATTTATATGAGGTTATGTAGTTGCAAATTACTACATATTGTATGTCATTTAAAAGGTTAAGTGGCCCATTTTATTGTTGATCGTGATATTGTTTTCACTATACCATGATTTTCTCAGCCGATGAGATCCTAAAATAATTTAGATATCATTGAGTGCTGAGACTCCTGTAGTTTCATTTTTTGGGGGGGGTTTTCATAGCATCGCTGGGTTCAAATAAATTGTTATTGAAATAATGAAACGGAAGGACTTCCGTAACGAGCGACCAACCCAACAAACACAGTAAAGAAGAAGAGAACTACCCCTAGCCCTCTGTTCTACTCTGTCTCATAGTGATTGCTCGTTACGGAAGTCCTCCCAATGAAACAATTAGTTCTCCCTTTTTTTTGTATGTCACTCTCCTGGAGTACCTCTATTCTTCAGCACCTATATATGTTTCTGTAATTGTGTCGCAAGTGACAAAAAACACTTATTAAAGCTTAAACTGACTGTACGCTTGCTTCGTTGTTTTTTTTCTGTCAGCTCGCGGGCAGCGGCAATAGGGGCCAGCAAGAAGCGCAAATGGGAGGAGGAAGAGGAGGACAGCACCAAAGACATGGAGGACCCCGTGCCCGAGACAAACATCCAGGAGGTCCACAACCCCAAGACAGGTGATTACTCCTCTGGAAGTGTTGCGATTTATGTGTGTGTGTGTGCGCGCGCGTCTTCGTATGCGCACTTGTACATCCTATCCTGACATAGTTTTGTCGGGCTCGGTTTGTGCTCAGCACAACTTTCCATTACTAGATCTATATGATATTTTTATTATGTTATAGTGGAGACATTGTGATATGTTCTCCCAAATTTGTGTACGTCTGAGAGGTAGCTTGGAATGTGTTCAACTACTTGTTTGCTATAGTTCTATGTGTCATATGTGTGTGTGTGTGTGTGGGGGGGGGGGGGGGATGCTGTAGCCATGTGGAGGCATCGAAGCATTAGGATTGTTATCCCAAACCAACATTTACATTGGGGACTCTGATGGCCCAGGGGTTAAGGTGTTCGCCTCTCATTCAAAGGTCTCAGGTTCGAATCTGGGCAGTGACAGAGAAATTTTCTTCTCTAAAATTGTCTCCTTTCACCTTCTTTCCTTCTCTCTTGCAATATTCTGTCATCTGCTTTCGTCTCCACTTTCTTCCCCTGTCCCCTCACCTCCTTTGCCCCCTTCACTGGGCTCCTGACTCTTTCTGCAGCCTTTCTACTGCTACTCCTTGGCTCCTTCTTACTGCTGTCTTTCAGCCACACAGCCACACCCCTGATCTTCTGGTAGGAAAGATTTACACCTAGCCTTCTCGGACGAGGGCGAAAAATCTCGGAGGTCCCGAGTGCAAGTTGTGCACGTTAAAGATCCCTTGTTAGTCCAAAATTGATCAGAGTAGGCTTCGGCCGCCACCTTATCAAAATACAAATATCCTACCAATTAAAAATGTTTCGTGTGTCCCCCGCGCTCATATGACCTTATGCAGTTGCAAGTGCCGTAAAACACACAAAAAATAACAACCACAAAAAACCCAACATGTACATCAGAAAGGTTGCCTTGAATGTTTCCAACTACTTATTACCGATAGTTCTAGCACTGTCTGCTGAGTGAAGTAACTTGGGAAGTTATTTGTCTTTATGGGTTGAAAAAAGTCAACCACATTTGCTGTCAATTTTAAAAATCTTTTCTTTACTCAAAATAACTGAGTGGCATCAAAATATCAGATACGATTATGAGCATTCAAAGCTTCAGAGATGGTGAACTTTACTACAGAGAAGGGCATAATGTATCTTGAGAAGGGTGGGTAAAATTCTTTACACGGAGAAAAAGTTTCGAGACTGACAGAGGCTCCTCCAAGAACAAAATCAGAATATTCTATATATGACAATCTTCAGGCACTTCCTCGCGCAGTGGCAAAGACGAGTTTACACCGATCAAAGGAGGAACCATCATGGATTTAGACGAGGAACAGGGTGAACGGGTGAGTATACATACAATGTGGCACATTAAGGTGGTAGGTGTTGTGTGTGTGTGTGGGGGGAGGGG